GGTTTGTAAACAAAAGAGGAGACACTGAAAGGGTTTGTAAACACAAGAGGGAAGACTGAAAGGGTTTGTAAACACAAGAGGGAAGACTGAAAGGGTTTGTAAACACAAGAGGGAAGACTGAAAGGGTTTGTAAACACAAGAGGGAAGACTGAGGAGAGGTGGGGGAGGGGTGACTCAGGTAAGTGGACAAGCCAGCCAGTTTTAGATTGGATTCCGTCAAGGAGTTCTGGGGGCGACTTGGCCTCATCTCCTGAGATTGGAGATTGGAGGGAGGGGAGGATAGTTCCAGGATTCCAGGATAGGACGGATTGGGCTTTATCTTGTTTTTCGAGAGGCGAGCAGTTGGCCGAAAGAGAAATTGGTTTTCGGGGGAAATGAATACCCGGAAGGATTCCTATGTATTCGGTATGTATATATATATATATTTTGAGATTCGTCGATTTAAAAAGTTTTTTGGAGGTCTTGTTGTAATGCGTGTGTAGAGAGGTTCGTAGGAGCGTTCTTAAGGGGGGGGGAGGGAGGGAGGGAGAGAGAGGGGGAGAGAGAGAGAGAGAGAGAGAGAGAGAGAGAGAGAGAGAGAGAGAGAGAGAGAGAGAGAGAGAGAGAGAACTTGTTTACTGCTGGTGAGAGACATTGGTAAACCATATATGCTGGTGGTGAGAGACATTGGTAAACTGGTTTACACTCGAGGAGGAAATGCACACCCAAACAGTTTTAGCAATAGAGAAGTAGGAAGTAAAGCGAGTCTAGTATACCTTCAGCAGTAAAGTACACCAGAGTGGGCGAACCCTAAACGCACGAGAGAAGAGTAAACTCAGTCGCCCTGAGCGTTTATCTCTGTGACAGATGCCTGTGTAAACTTTTGTACATCCCGTCCCTCACATATTGAACTGTGTGTGTGTATATATATATATATATATATATATATATATATATATATATATATATATATATATATATATATATATATATATATATATATATATATGAGATCTGCTTATACCCATACCTATTCCCGGGGCGGTGATGGATAGGTATGTGGCAGGTCCACTATAGCAGACGCCGAGCTCTATAATAACAAACTACGCCAACATCAAACTACGCCAACATCAAACTACGCCAACATCAAACTACGCCAACATCAAACTACGCCAACATCAAACTACGCCAACATCAAACTACGCCAACATCAAACTACGCCAACATCAAACTACGCCAACATCAAACTGCGCCAATAACAAACTATGCCAACATCAAACTACGCCAACATCAAACTGCGCCAACATCAAACTACGCCAACATCAAACTATGCCAACATCAAACTACGCCAACATCAAACTACGCCAACATCAAACTACGCCAACATCAAACTACGCCAACATCAAACTGCGCCAACATCAAACTACGCCAACATCAAACTGCGCCAACATCAAACTGCGCCAATATCAAACTACGCCAACATCAAACTACGCCAACATCAAACTACGCCAACATCAAACTACGCCAACATCAAACTACGCCAACATCAAACTACGCCAACATCAAACTACGCCAACATCAAACTACGCCAACATCAAACTACGCCAACATCAAACTACGCCAACATCAAACTGCGCCAATATCAAACTGCGCTAATATTAGCGCAGCAACTCACATAACAGCGCTGTTTCCCAGTTTCTTTTTGTTTTACAAAAAAAAATATTTTTTTGTAAATCGTTTTCTTTTGTATTTTTGCCGCTGTACACTCGATCAGTCTGGCCAGAATTGCACCAACTGGCAGCAATGTGTTACGAAACAGATAATTCACTCTAACCCCCCCCCCTCCCCTGAACGTCACTAAACCGGTGTACTAAATTGCCCGAACCTAACCTTCCCGAGAACCCACCAACAGAAAACGGGACATCACGGCCATATCGAGAGTCGCTGTACCCTAAGTGTCAGTACACCAGTTTCTTTGCCGTAAGGAAATTATACGTCAAAATACGATGTACTGTTTAGGAGAACGGATTCAGTCACCGTTTAGGAGAACGGATTCAGGAGCCGGTTGGCCGAGCGGACAGCACGCTGGACTTGTGATCCTGTGGTCCTAAGTTCGATCCCAGGCGCCGGCGAGAAACATTGGGCAGAGTTTCTTTCACCCTATGCCCCTGTTACCTAGCAGTAAAATAGGTACCTGGGTGTTAGTCAGCTGTCACGGGCTGCTTCCTGGGGGTGGAGGCCTGGTCGAGGACCGGGCCGCGGGGACACTAAAGCCCCGAAATCATCTCAAGATAACCGTAGCTCTTGGAATTAGGTGATTAGGGTAATTACATTCCACACGGTAATTACCGTATACGGAATAAGGTAATTATGTTCTGAAATTAGCTACGGCAATTGTCTTGGGGGAATGAAACGATAGGAAGGGTGAAATTGAGGAAAGAATTAAAATGAATAAAAATAGGAAACTCAGTCGCTAGCTGTTATGTAGAAAATAGGAAAGAAATAAGTGTGGATTGGAAAGGGAATAGGGTAATGGGAACAATTAATGGGAACACGTAATAGTAAATAGCGGTAATGGGGGATTGAATTCAGCAAGGGTGATACGAGAATGGATAAGAAATGGGGGGGGTTCTGGAATAGGGAATAATGGGATAAGTATTTTGAAACTAAAGGGACAGGTATTTGGAATGGAATGGGAAGGGGGGGAGGGGAATAATTGGGACTAAGATAGGGGAAATCAGATAATGAAGACTGGGAATGGGGCCATCAGCCACCCCCCCCCCCCTTGCAAAGTCCCTAATCTCCTCAGCCCAAACTTCGAACTGTCACCTGATTGGCTGAGAGCGGCAGATACGTCGATGCTGATTGGGCAACTGTCCTTGCATGGTGTCCCTGTATAGGGCCTTAGCAAGAAAACACATTCCAGGAACTGACTCACTTGTGACACCTGAGCTCTCTCGACGCAAACAAACACATTAACTTTTAAAATCCTATTTTTGTATTTTTTTTTTTTACCTGACTATGACGGATTTTTTTGTCCTGTTTGCGTCAAGGGGACAAACTATGACAATGTATATTGTGTGTGTTGCTGCTGCTGTTGTTGTCTTTGCAACAAATGAGTGAGAGAGGGGGGAAAGCATTGCATTTAATTTTTCCACAGTATTGTAACCTAGCTGACAGCTCCATCATCAACACAGCTTAATATTTTTCTGTTAATTTTGGACATTTTGTCCCGAAATTTCCTCTTCCAAAACACCCGAGAGACCTAAAAGCTGTTGTTCTAGACTATATATTCCCACTCCAACGGCTCTCTCTCTCTCTCTCTCTCTCTCTCTCTCTCTCTCTCTCTCTCTCTCTCTCTCTCTCTCTCTCTCTCGCTCTCTCTCTCTCTAACGCACTCTTTTTTTTTAACGCTGTACTTCGACGCACCGCCCAAAACGGTGATGCGTCGAAGTACATAAATACACACACACACATGTGTGTGTATATATATGCTCTTTAACAGCTCTTCTCCAACACTCCTCCAACAATCTTCTCCAACACCACACCCTCAACACACTCACCAACACCACCTCCCCCCCCCCCATCACTTCAACACTCCCTATCCTAATTATTTAGTCCAGACGACTAGCCAAAAGCAATTAAATTTAATGATAAATGAATGCTTTGTTTGTCACCCCTTGCTCCCTTCCGTTATTGTGAGGCCACACACACACTACCCCTCCCACCTGTCAAGGACACACACTACCCCTCCCACCTGTCAAGGACACACACTACCCCTCCCACCTGTCAAGGACACACACTACCCCTCCCACCTGTCAAGGACACACACTACCCCTCCCACCTGTCAAGGACAGGGTCACACACTACCCCTCACACCTGTCAAGGACAGGAACACACACTACCCCTCCCACCTGTCAAGGACAGGAACACACACTACCCCTCCCACCTGTCAATGTCACACACTACCCCTCCCACCTGTCAAGGACAGGGACACACACTACCCCTCCCACCTGTCAAGGACAGGGACACACACTACCCCTCCCACCTGTCAAGGACAGGGACACACACTACCCCTCCCACCTGTCAAGGACAGGGACACACAATTACCCCTCCCACGTGTCAAGGACACACACTACCCCTCCCACCTGTCAAGGACAGGGACACACACTACCCCTCCCACCTGTCAAGGACAGGGACACACACTACCCCTCCCACCTGTCAAGGACAGGGACACACACTACCCCTCCCACCTGTCAAGGACAGGGACACACACTACCCCTCCCACCTGTCAAGGACAGGGACACACAATTACCCCTCCGCAACACAGCAGGGCAGAGACAATTTCCCCTTAGCTGTATACAATCAGGACAGGGATACAATCCCCTCCCAGCCACAATCAGGACCACAATCGCCCTGGGAATAGGTCATAGGGGGGGGACCACTGATGACCTAGCCACCCGCTAATCCGGTGAATTCTGGCAAGGTGATTTAATTTTCAGGGCTAACTGAATTAATTGTGATCGAGTGCTTATCTTAGCTTGCGGCCGCAGGCACGAATTGCCTGAATTCATCAAGAGTTTACGCGTCCACACACGAACGTGAGCAGCTTTCCTCAATCCAGGTAGTTTGATTGACATTCATTAAACAGTCTATACGAGCTTTAAAATGTCGGCGATGAGTCACAATAACGTGGCTAAAGTAAGTTGACAAGACCACACACTAGAAGGTGAAGGGACGACGACGTTTCGGTCCGTCCTGGACCATTCTCTAGTCACAATCGACTTGAGAATGGTCCAGGACGGACCGAAACGTCGTCGTCCCTTCACCTTCTAGTGTGTGGTCTGGTCAACTTTAAAATGTCGTAACGAAAGGTAACATCGTAGCCCCTTGAAGCTCATAGACTGCCATGTTTGAGGAAAGATGTACATGTTTCGTACATTTGTACATCACGATTGCTAACTCAATTTACCAATCTCTAATGCGAATTATCTTTATGTCACTTCCTAAGAGATGGTCACATGCATCAGGTAAGTGACAGTCGAACAATGTACTCAAAGTGGCTATTTCAAGTCAAGTACCGAAAAGCTAATAAAGTCCAGCATCATCAATATCCAACCCGTTCTCGCAAATTCGTATAGTCAATACTGACTTATTAAATACGTGCATAGGTGATATACTAAACATAATAGATACCCTTAAAAATATGCATAGAAAACACCAACCTTACCTAACCTTGTTAGTATGTTAAGATAAGCATCTTATTGTTTCGTAATTACAATTATTACTTAACCTATACCTATAACAGGTTAAGTAACAATTGTAATTACGAAGCTATAAGATGCTTATCTTAACATACTAACAAGGTTAGGTAAGGTCGGTGTTTTCTATGAAGCTTTTCAAGGGTATCTATTATGTTTAGTATGTCACCTATGCACTTATTTAATAAGTCAATATTGACTATACGAATTTGCGAGAACGGGTTGCAATATCATGTATTTGCTTTCTTGCCAACGCTATATATAGCGGGTTCCCCATAGCACCCTTAGCATGAAGTCAAATTGGTTAAAGACCCGTGTTCAGAATTATAATGTTTGGGAGCCTGATGTGAAGTTACACGTGAGGACGAAAGGTCATTTGAACATGATATTCGGCCCGTAAGGAATAGTGGCCGAATACTAGCTACATCACCAACACACCTGAAAGTTAACGTGACTGAGGGATACATACCTACATGTATATAAGTAACATTATTAACGAGGAAATTTGGACAGTCTCCGCTGAAAATTTCTGCTTACATATGGCATGAAAGTGAAGGCCCTCCCCCTAACACACACACACACACACACACACACACACACACACACACACACACACACACACACACACACACACACACACACACACACACACACCACACACACACACACACCTGGTGACTCAAATAACAGAAACTACCTAACAACCCCCCCCCCACTCAGGACAAGGGAGGGTCGCTCTAATTCCAGGTGATGTTGTTGTTGTTGTTTTAGATCCAGCTACTGGGAACCAAAACTTGCAAGTAGCACGGTCTATGGTGAGCCCGTAGTGTGCCTACCTGGCACAGGAGCGGGACTCTAACTCAATCCCCGAGGTGACTGTTCAACTGAGCAGATTTATATAAATTTCTTAATTAATTCGTATCATTAATATTCATGTAACAGCCGGATACGTGAACACGTCGGCTCTTTATTCCCAAAACTAGCAATTATATCTTCTCATCCAGAAAATTATATATACTTCAATTGTTACTGTAATGAAATGACGAATACAGCGATACAATTTTACAGATACAGGGAGAATACAATACTTTACAGTATAGTAATGTATTTGGAGAGGTACCCGGCGGTGCCCGGGGTAGTTTGCCTCTTCCCCCCCTCTCATCCCTTCTCTTTTTCCTCTCTTCCACATTCTTCACTCCATCTGTCCTTTGATACCCATTTCCCCATTCCCTTTGTCCACCCCCTATTAGTCCTTCCCCCTTTTTCCCTATTTCCTCTTCCCTTTCCCTAGTCTCTTCCCTATTCCCTCTCTTTCCACCCTTTCTCCCACTCCCCCTTGACCCCCCTCATCAGTATCCCCTTGGTCACCTTCCTGCTCTTCCCCTCTCCACATCCTCTCTGAAAATGTAATAATGACTAAACACTCTATGGAAATCACACCATATATTTCACGCTAGACTCCATGAAATTCGCATGGGGGTGTTTATAATTCCTGATATTTCATAAAAGCATTTAACCTAGGCTAACTCCGACCAGCCTATGTCCATCCCGTACCTCAGACCTATCCCCCTACAAGTTTGAGTGAGGCTAGCACCAAACAACTGACCTCCACCTTTCGATAAACAGACGAGCGGACATTCTCTTTCTTATAGTATAGACATTATTGTTCTGAGGTCTCATTTTCTGTCTCTTCCTATCCTCCTAACTATCCCAAGAACGTAATTACCCCAAGAAAGCACCTAGACAGGAAGGCTAAGTAGCGCCGTCTAAGTCGTAAGAGGGTCAGAAACTCGCTAAATATCGATCCAGGGGGCTAGATTCACGAAAGCAGTTACGCAAGCACTTACGAACGTGTACATCTTCCCTCAATCTTTGACGGCTTTGGTTACATTTATTGAACAGTTTACAAGCATGAAAACTTCCCCATTCAACTGTTGTTATTGTTATAAACAGCCTCCTGGTGCTTCGGAGCTCATTAACTGTTTAATAATTGTAAACAAAGCCGCCAAGATTGAGAAAAGAAGTCCAGGTTCGTAACTGCTTCGTGAATCTGGCCCCAGGTGTCAATACTAGAACAAAACCACACGAGGCTACCAAGCTATCGGTCCCCGAGGGACATCAGGAAAGCAAGGGATCGTCCGGGAAATCAGGACACTCCACAAGGACGTTCAGGACGGCACGTGGGACAATAATGCGGTTATCTTGAGGTTATCTTGAGATGATTTCGGGGCTTTAGTGTCCCCGCGGCCCGGTCCTCGACCAGGCCTCCACCCCCGGGAAGCAGCCCGTGACAGCTGACTAACACCCAGGTACCTATTTTACTGCTAGATAACAGGGGCATAAGGTGAAAGAAACTCTGCCCATTGCTTCTCGCCGGCGCCCGGGATCGAACCCGGGACCACAGGATCACAAGTCCAGCGTGCTGTCCGCTCGGCCGACCGGCTCCCTTACGGACAAAAAAGGAGAACGCTGTTGTAGTAACTAAAACTTATAATATATATTTGCCCACGTTTCTTCCTATAATCTCAAGCATCTTAACACACCTGCTCGCTACACCTGCACAGGGAGCCACCCCCTCCTCCAAACCTTCCCTCCACACCTCCAAATATTATATTCCCTTTTAAAATCGTTACAAATTCCCTGCTTTTTTGGGGGGTGGGACTTGGTGGGGTGGAAGGGAATTATCAGGGGGGGGGGGGAAGAGCCAAGCCATTACGACTATATAGCACTGGGGAGGGGGGTCAGGATAAGGATTTGGGATGGGACGGGGGGATAGGAATGGTGCCCAACCCCTTGGACGGTCGGGGATTGAACGCCGACCTGCATGAAGCGAGACCGTCGTTCTACCGTCCAGCCCAAGTGATTGTGGGGGGATGGGGGAGTGCAAACGACATAATACGATCCAATTCTCCTCAGACCTCGGGAGCCGTCTTGTTAGGCCAGGTCTTAATTTGAAAAGTTTTGACGCCCCATTTTCTTGGTGGTGTAGACGCCCTTAACTGCTGTCTTGGCGTAATGGGCCTCACTCTTAAGTCTTATTTGCGTAGAGACGGTTGTTAAACCCTCATCTTTATCATTACAGATAGTTATGAGTGTTGTTATTATTGTTGTTATTGTAGTTTAAGGATAATTTAATATTTATTTTTGTTTGACATTAAATTTGAACAAATTTGGGTGAGGCTCGCCCCAAACATCTGGCCGCCAAGACATTGTCATATTATTATATATATATATATATATATATATATATATATATATATATATATATATATATATATATATATATATATATATATATCTAATATGCATTTTTTGTATAAAATCAGATATGTAACTGTATAACCTTGCATAATAAAGTGTACACCATAAAGAAAAGGGGGGTGGTAGGAGAAGCGAACACTCTTACGTATTCAGAATTAAATGGTAAGTTTTTCTCTGAATGCTCTGTGTTCCCTTCTCTGAGGCTGTGGGTCCCTATAACTGCACCAGAGGTGGTACCCCCCTATATATATATATATATATATATATATATATATATATATATATATATATATATATATATATATATATATATATATATATATATGTCGTACCTAGTAGCCAGAACGCACTTCTCTGCCTACTATGCAAGGCCCAATTTGCCTAATAAGCCAAGTTTTCATGAATTAATGTTTTTTCGACTACCTAACCTACCTAACCTAACCTAACCTAACTTTTTTTGGCTACCTAACCTGTGTCACAGCCTGGGCCTGACCTAGTTCTGCTTGCGGGGGTTGAGCTCCGGCTCTTTGGTCCCGCCTCTCAACTGTCAATCAACTGGTGTACAGATTCCTGAGCCTACTGGGCTCTATCATATCTACACTTGAAACTGTGTATGGAGTCAGCCTCCACCACATCACTGCCTAATGCATTCCATTTGTTAACTACTCTGACACTGAAAAAATTCTTTCTAACGTCTCTGTGGCTCATCTGGGTACTAAGTTTCCACCTGTGTCCCCTTGTTCGTGTCCCACCCGTGCTGAAGAGTTTGTCTTTGTCCACCCTGTCAATTCCCCTGAGAATTTTGTAGGTGGCTATCATGTCTCCCCTTACTCTTCTGTTTTCCAGGGTTGTGAGGTTCAGCTCCCTTAGCCTTTCCTCGTAGCTCATTCCTCTCAGTTCCGGGACCAGTCTGGTGGCATACCTCTGAATCTTCTCTAACTTCGTCTTGTGTTTAACTAGGTATGGACTCCAGGCTGGAGCTGCATACTCTAGGATTGGTCTTACATAAGTGGTATACAAGGTCCTGAACGATTCCTTACACAAGTTTCTAAAGGCAGTTCTTATATTGGCCAGTCTAGCATATGCCGCTGATGATATCCTTTTGATGTGGGCCTCTGGGGACAGGTTCGGTGTGATATCGACCCCCAGATCTTTCTCTCTATTTGACTCTTGCAGGATTTCACCTCCCAGATGGTACCTTGTGTTTAGCCTTCTGCTCCCTTCGCCTAATTTCATTACTTTACACTTTCCTGAGTTGAACTTTAGCAGCCATTTTCTAGACCATTCCTCCAGTTTGTCCAGGTCGTCCTGTAGTCTCTGTCTATCTTCATCTGTTTTGATTCTTCTCATAATTTTTGCATCATCAGCAAACATTGAGAGGAATGAATCTATACCCTCCGGAAGATCGTTTACATATACTTGAAACAGGATGGGTCCGAGTACAGAGCCCTGTGGAACCCCGCTGGTGACATCTGGCCACTCTGATGCCTCCCCCCTCACCGTTACTCGCTGTTTCCTGTTGCTCAGATACTCCCTTATCCACTGGAGCACCTTACCTTCTACTCCTGCCTGCTGCTCCAACTTTTGTAACAGCCTTTTATTGAGGTACTGTGTCAAAGGCTTTCTGACAGTCCAAGAAAATGCAGTCTGCCCACCCTTCTCTTTCCTGCCTAATTTGTGTTGCTTGGTCATTGAATTCTATTAGGCTTGTGAGGCACGATTTTCCACCTCTGAACCCATACTGGTGGTGTTTTACAAAGCTGTTTCCCTCCAGATGCTCTACAAGCCTTTTCCTCACAATCTTCTCCATCACCTTACATGGTATACAAGTTAGGGAAACTGGTCTGTAGTTCAGTGCCTCTTGTCTGTCACCCTTTTTGTAAATTGGGACTACATTAGCTGTCTTCCAGCTTTCCGGAAGGTTTCCCGTTTCCAATGACCTGTTATAAACCATAGAGAGTGGCACACTTAATGCTTCTGCACCTTCTTTTAGAATTCACGGTGAGATTCTGTCAGGCCCAACAGCCTTTGACACATTCAGCTCCAACAGATTCCTTTTGACCTCATCACTGGTGAGGTAAAATTCCTCCAAGGTTGTTCGGTTTGCCTCATTTAGTGCAGGGATCTCTCCTTGTTCTATTGTGAAGACCTCCTGGAATCTCTTGTTGAGTTCTTCACACACCTCTTTGTCGTTCTCTGTGTATCTGTTCTCTCAGTTTCATCATTTGTTCCTTCACTGCTGTTTTCCTCCTGGTGTGGCTGTGGGCCAGTTTTAGTTAGGTCTTAACTTTACTCGTGACATAATCCATCATATCCTGTATAGTCTTTTCTCTGAGTTCCGTTTCCTATGGTATTCCCATTAGGAAGTTCCTCATCTCGTCATATTTTCCTCTTCGGTAATTTAGTCTTTTTCCTTCCAATCCCATCCTTGGATAGGTTATCCCTACTTCTACCAGATACTCAAATATCAATACCCTGTGGTTACTCATTCCTATGAGGGCTTCATATTTGACTTCCCTTATTTCTGAGCCATTTAAGGTAAATATTAGGTCGAGTCTAGCTGGTTCATTTCCTCTTTGTGGGCCGGGCCGTCCATTCCCTTTTTGTGTGTGTGTGTGTGTGTGTGTGTGTGTGTGTGTGTGTGTGTGTGTGTGTGTGTGTGTGTGTGTGTGTGTGTGTGTGATTGTGTTTGCTTGTACTTAGGTATGCTTGAGGGAGCTGGTGTTCAGCTGTTGGGTCACGTCTCTCAAATGGTGCATACGCTGTTGAACTTTGTCGAAGGATTCGGTTGAATTTACATTTATATACGTGTATCGAGTCTGCCTCCACCATTTCACTCTAAATATTACTCCATTTATCCACTTCTTGACGTCATAAACAAAACTATTTTTAACAGTCCTGTCTAATTTGCGTGTAAGTTTCTACGTTGCTATTATGTCCCTTTTGTAAATAGCCTGTCGCTGTAAATTTTCCAGCGTATTTTGTATGTCGTGATCATTTGCTCGCTGCCTTCTCTCTGTTACGACGATGTTAGGATTAAATTCAGTCCACGAAACTCAAAGAATTAATCTGGTCACATAACTCGGAATATTGTTAAACTTCATTTACTGTCTAGCGAAGTATGGCTTCCGCGCAGGTGCCGCATACTGCGGAACTGGTTAACTCGCGCCGGCATGGAGTCCTTGTTCTATATTTGTATTGCCCCCAAGTGTTTGTAAACTTGCACATGCTGCTGATGGTATCCAGTTAGTGTGAACCTCAAGAGACCCGTTTTGGAGTTATGACTGCAAAGTTTTTTTTGTTGTGATTCCTGAAGAGTTCCCCCTCACATGTTGAACTTGTGATCAGTCGCACTCACACTTCCAAAGAGAAGCACTCACACTGACGCAATAGTCAACATGAGCACCAATTCCTCCTCAAGTGTCTTTACGTCAAGTCAAATACATATTAAAACAAAACAAAACAAATTCGACGTTATTACATAAATCACTGAACATTAAACAGTCCCACGGAACGAACAATCTTAGTTCACACATACCCAGAAAAATTTACTCTATTCTTCCAAGTTTAATGCCACATAATGCCAACCACAACAACATGGAAGGTAGAGAGAGATCACGTTTCCGACCCCCTTCCCTCCCTCTCTCCCAAAGTGTTAATTAAAACGCTTTTCACCTTTCTACAGACCAAAGAGTTCTTTCGGTCTCTCTTAGGTCATTTGCGTTCAGCTTTCCTCTCCAGTACAACATTATCCTCGCCTCCGCGAACTCCTTATCTTCACGCCAGCCATCTGGAGTCTCAAGGCGCACCTGATGTGAAGTTTCGAGTTTCTCTGTCTTTAAAAGGCATCATTTACCCTAGTCTTGGCTGCTCCAGACGGCTGCTGCTTAATAAAATGAACATTTCCTCAAGAGGTCTTCATTTAAGACGCGTATTTCTATCCTTGATGGGTACTTCTCCTTTACGAGAAAGTTCTCCTCTCTCTCTCTCTCTCTCTCTCTCTCTCTCTCTCTCTCTCTCTCTCTCTCTCTCTCTCTCTCTCTCTCTCTCTCTCTCTCTCTCTCTCTCTCTCTCTCTCTCTCTCTCTCTCTCCCTCTTCACTTGAATCTTGCCCTTTAAACCTCTGAAACCAGATTTTATTTCAAAATCTAGAAACAGAGATCTCAGCATTTTTAAAGTGACTCTTTTCCGCGCTGGTGGCTAAGACCTGAGGAGTCAACTTTACAACCCACCAACACTTGAGTTCGAGTCTCCTCCCAGGTCTTTTCTCTGCCTTGACAGCTGAAACAAATAAAAATTATAGTCATAAGACGTGTCATACAGTGTTATGGTGTATTATACATTTGAATGGTGTAGTGTAAGGGGACCGTGACGCAGGTTCGAACCCTCAACACGGCTATTGTGGATTTGTTCAGTATAAGGGGAATGTGAATGGCGATCAGGGGGAGAAAGAGGATGAATTAGGATTAATTTTATCCAACTCTGAGGTAAAGATTCAAGTGATTAAGATATAACAATTGGATTTAGTTGTTATAAAAATTATAGGGTCAGCTGGAAGGATCTAATCTTTGTTTCTCGTCTTGCAGCTGTGAAAATGGGGAGCTGAGAGCGGATTGGTCGTGCGAGTGTGACCCGTGCTGGGAAGGTCACTCTTGTAACACATACGGTAAGACCTTCACCCTCATTATTATATATATATATATATATATATATATATATATATATATATATATATATATATATATATATATATATATATATATATATATTATAATACACACTTGCATGAACTCGCAAGGAATTTTTAACAAACAGAACACTTCCCCATATGAGAGAATCGAACCAGGGGCCAGCAAATGTCAGGCCAGAGCCTTAACCACATTACACCCCAACTCTACACCCACCACACTACACCCACCACACTACACCCACCACACTACACCCCCCACACTACACCCTCCACACTACACCCACCACACTACACCCACCACACTACACCCACCACACTACACCCACCACACTACACCCTCCACACTACACCCACCACACTACACCCACCACACTACACCCCCCCACACTACACCCCCCACTACACCCACCACACTACACCCACCACACTACACCCCCCCACACTACACCTACCACACTACACCCCCCACACTACACCCCCCACACTACACCCACCACACTACACCCTCCACACTATACCCCCACACTACACCCCCCACACTACACCCCCCACACTACACCCACCACACTACACCCCCCCCACTACACCCACCACACTACACCCACCACACTACACCCACCACACTACACCCCCCACACTACACCCTCCACACTACACCTTCCACACTACACCCACTACACTACACCCACCACACTACACCCCCACACTACACTCTCCACACTACACCCACCACACTACACCCCCCACACTACACCCCCCACACTACACCCCCCACACTACACCCCCCACACTACACCCACTACACTACACCCACCACACTACACCCCCACACTACACTCTCCACACTACACCCCCCACACTACACCCTCCACACTACACCCTCCACACTACACCCTCCACACTACACCCTCCACACTACACCCTCCACACTACACCCTCCACACTACACCCCCACACTACACTCTCCACACTACACCTCCCACACTACACCCTCCACACTACACCCTCCACACTACACCCTCCACACTACACCCTCCACACTACACCCTCCACACTACACCCTCCACACTACACCCTCCACACTACACCCTCCACACTACACCCTCCACACTACACCCTCCAGGCATCCCAATGTCAAGGAAGAAAGCCGCAAAAATTCAAGCAGAAAGAAACCAGATATTGTCCTCTCTGGGAATTAATGCTGCATGCTGGGAGGAAAGTTGTAGTCTTCCTGTTGGTAAGAGGGGGGGTTGTGGGGCTGGTCGAGTGGGGGGAGGAGGAGAAGGAAGAGGGAGGAAGAGAGAGGAGGAAGAGGGGGGAAGAGGGAGGAAGAGGGGGGAAGAGAGAGGAGAAGGAGAAGACTTGCAATTTCTAAATCACCATTAAAAGTCTCCTCTGTGGCGGACCTTAAGCTTTGCGCAGCTAAAACTTTGCGGTAGCTTAAGTGTTTTGCGACAACTTAAACTTCGCAACATCGTAAGCTCTCTGTCAGCTCACGAATTCACCATCATTGATTTAACTTGCGAGAATGCATGTCTAGGTTCCGATCTCTAAGCTGACTGAAACTCTTTAGATATTTTTATCAAAGGAAAGAAGCTTAGTCAGAAAGCTGCGTCACTGCTATATGTAAGAGTTGCGTCACTGCTATATGTAAGAGCTCCGTCACTGCTATATGTAAGAGCTGCGTCACTGCTGTAAGAGCTGCGTCACTGCTACACGCAAGAGCTGCGTCACTGCTACACGCAAGAGCTGCGTCACTGTTACACGCAAGAGCTGCGTCACTGCTACACGCAAGAGCTCCGTCACTGCTACACGCAAGAGCTGCGTCACTGCTACACGCAAGAGCTGCGTCACTGCTACACGCAAGAGCTGCGTCACTGCTATATGTAAGAGTTGCGTCACTGCTATATGTAAGAGCTCCGTCACTGCTATATGTAAGAGCTCCGTCACTGCTATATGTAAGAGCTCCGTCACTGCTATATGTAAGAGTTGCGTCACTGCTATATGTAAGAGTTGCGTCACTGCTATATGTAAGAGCTCCGTCACTCCTATATGTAAGAGCTGCGTCACTGCTATATGTAAGAGCTGCGTCACTGCTATATGTAAGAGTTGCGTCACTGCTACACGCAAGAGCTGCGTCACTGCTACACGCAAGAGCTGCGTCACTGCTACACGCAAGAGCTGCGTCACTGCTACACGCAAGAGCTCCGTCACTGACAGAATAACTGTTAAATTTAGGAAAAAAACTCATGCAATATAATTTTAGATCATTTTAAAGATCGATCAATTACAGAGAAATCTTTCTCTCCCTTGTGTGATGTAATATATTCTTAGACAAACTAAGAATATTACTATTAAGAATATTTTAAGAATAATATTAAAACGTGTCTATGTTCCGTCACAGACTCACTAGGCTGTGTTATCTTGAGGTTATCTTGAGATGATATCGGGGCTTTAGTGTCCCCGCGGTCCCGGTTTTCGACCAGGCCTCCACGCCCAGGAAGCAGCCCGTGACAGCTGACTAACACCCAGGTACCTATTTTACTGCTAGGTAACTGTCCTCTATGTCCCAGGACCAGTCACCTTCACGGGTGAATTGCCATTGCGTGCAACCAGGGCTGTGATAGGCGGGGCTCTGGGGTGCGACAGAGATGAAATGTAGACAATTTAACAGCGACGGGCATATAGGCAGAGGGAGCAGGCAGCCCTGGAAAAGGTATAATGGCTATTGGCTAGGATAACCAAAATATTTGGTTATCTTGGTAAATATTTGTTGGTATAACACACACACACACACACACACACACACACACACACACACACACACACACACACACACACACACACACACACACACACACACACAGGCCGGTGGGCCTCGTAGCCTGGTGGATAGCGCGCAGGATTCGTAATTCTGTGGCGCGGGTTCGATTCCCGCACGAGGCAGAAACAAATGGGCAAAGTTTCTTTCACCCTGAATGCCCCTGTTACCTAGCAGTAAATAGGTACCTGGGAGTTAGTCAGCTGTCACGGGCTGCTACCTGGGGTGTGTGTGTGTGTGGTGTGGTGTGAAAAAAAATAGTAGTTAGTAAACAGTTGATTGACAGTTGAGAGGCGGGCCGAAAGAGCAAAGCTCAACCCCCGCAAAACACAACTAGTAAACACACACACACACACACACACACACACACACACACACACACACACACACACACACACACACAGTGAACCTGTCTACATCAATGAGGACATCCTAGTACAAAAGAGCAAACTGAAATATGTAACGCATTACAGACAGCTATTCCTTCAGAGGGACATGACCAGGGACGAGATAATACAGGCAGCAGATGCAAGGAAAAGGAGCAGGCAGAGGGAAGGGAGCCAGGGAACCCCAACCCAGCACCTCGGGAACCCAAGAGGGGACTGCTACATCCGAACTCACCACCCTATAGGTGGGGGGAAATTCAACCCCCTCCCTACCCCAAGTACCCCCTTCCCTCCCACCCCCTTGTCGTCCTCCTGCCCCAAGCCGGCCCAGACACGAACTAAGTCCTCCATCCCCCACCCCAGTTCTAAGCCATCCTCCCCCTGCCCCTCCTTCCCCCCCACCCCCACCTCCCACAGAACCCCTGGTAACTACCCCACAGGAGGATGAGCCTACCCAAGCAGCAATGCCCATGGAACAGCTTCCTGCACTAGTGGGGAGGGTGGGTGAATACTGGTTTGGGATAAGAAGTTGTGGATTTATGAAACAATTTACCGAGTAATATTGATCCAGGAGTGATTAAGAATACTATAGAAACTACAACTTGATTAAGAAACAATTAAACCAAACAATTACACCTCAGCTAACAAGCACAAACACTCCTGAACTAATGGGCTTCTTAACAGCAAGTTTCTCACTCCCACCAAATTAACATCCAGAACAAAGTTAATGACCCGGGCGTCAACAGACAAGACACCATTAATCTTCCATTTACAGCCATTAACCTTTCGCCTCCTGCACCATTTAACCCTAACAGGATAAATCTTGCCACAGGGAGTCTCACAAGCACCTGATAACCCCACCTTTGTGTGTTATACAGAACCACCATTAACCCATTAACTAATGGTTATACATTAACCCATTAGTTAATGGTTTAACTAAGGGTTGCTACCTGATGTTCAAGAGTCCCATTGTGACACAGAGAAATCCTATTGTTGTTTAAGATTCGCTACCTGGAACAAAAAGTTCCAAGCAGCACGGGCTATGGTGAGCCCGTAGTTGAAATCCCATTATCGGGGTATATCAGTGAACAAATCTACCGGGGCTGTGACGGAGGTTCGAATCTATGAGTGTCCCAGTTCTATTGTTTTTAATATTAGAACCACATTCACATGCACCATGCAATCATGGCTATCTTGAGGTTATCTTGAGATGATTTCGGGGCTTTAGTGTCCCGCGGTCCGGTCTTCGACCAGGCCTCCACCCCCAGGAAGCAGCCGGTGACAGCTAACTAACACCCAGGTACCTATTTTACTGCTTGGTAACAGGGGCATAGGGTGAAAGAAACTCTGCCCATTGTTTCTCGCCGGAGCCTGGGATCGAACTCGGGACCACAGGATCACAAGTCCAGCGTGCTGTCCGCTCGGCCGACCGGCTCCCATGAATGGGTTAATGGGATCCCATATGGGTTAATGTCCATAACGTCCGTGGGTTAATGCGCCGTAACGCACAAGTCCATGGGTTATGGGGATAAACAGGAAGATGGTTCGCGCCCCCCCCCCTCACCCACCCCTTCTAAAATGAGTTTCTCGCACTCGGATAATTATAGACCCATATGGGCTCCGAGGGAGCCGGTCGGCCGAGCGGACAGCACGCGGGACTTGTGATCCTGTGGTCCTGGGTTCGATCCCAGGCGCCGGTGAGAAACAATGGGCAGAGTTTCTTTCACCCTATGCTCCTGTTACCTAGCAGTAAAATAGGTACCTGGGTG